CCTTAAATACTGGGAAAAACTTAACCTTTGGGCCCCAACTACTAAATTTTGCCCTTGAAAGGTTTTCTTTGCCCGGCCAGTAGCGTGGCATCGGAGCACGTGTTTAGTGCGGCAGGGGGTATTGTAACTCCGCGGAGGACACGACTGTCCACCCAAAGTGTGGAGAGACTCACGTTTGTGAAAATGAATCAGGCGTGGATTAGTCTGGATTTCAAAACACCAGTTCTGACACAACTGACTAAATCCGCCATGAATCATGGCCCCAAAACATGTTATTAATTTTTAACAGTAGGGCCTCCTTTGTATGGCGCTGCAATTTAATGCTGCTTACCGCTTCCGCCACTCTGGCCATGGGCCCCTGTGTTACCTCCTCCGTCTGGCTGCTGCCCAGGTCCATAGGTGTCCCCATGGGTTCCCTGTTACGGCCTCCATTGCTGTTGTTTTCCCTGTCATCCATCGCCACACTCTGCCATGGTGCCTTTTTCAAGGTCTCCTCACACTGCTGTGTGGCGTTCCATTTTGTCATAGGGTGCTGGCAGATTACGGGGCCTCCCATTGCTGCTGCCAGGCCCGTAATCTGCCATGGGCCCCCGTACCGCCTCCTCATGCTGCTGCCAGGTCCAGAGTTCTCATGGGTCCCTGTACGGCCTCCCATTGCTGCTGCTCTCCATCGCCACACTCTGCCATGTGCCACTTTTCAGGTCTCTTCACACTGCTGGTGGGTTCCATTTTGTCCATTGGGTGCTGGCAGATTACGGGCCTCCCATTGCTGCTGCCAGGCCCTGTAATCTGCCATGGGCCCCCCGTACCGACTCCTCATGCTGCTGCGCAGGTCCTATTTTGTGTCTCATGGGTCCCTGTACGGCCTCCCATTGCTGCTGTCTCCATCGCCACACTCTGCCATGTGCCACTTTCAGGTCTGCCTCACACTGCTGGTGGGTTCCATTTTGTCACACGGTGTGCTGCAGATTACGAGGCCCGTCAGCATTGCTTGCTTGCCATCCGTAATCTGCCATGGGCCCTCCGTACCGCGCCCTCGCCGCCAGAAGCTCGAATCTGTCATCTGCCCGCTGTGACCATGCTTCCTCATGCTGCTTAAACCAGGTCTCAGAGTGTCTCATGGGTCCCTGTACGGCCTCCCATTGCTGCTGTCTCCATCGCCACACTCTGCCATGTGCCACTTTCAGGTCTCCTCACACTGCTGGTGGGTTCCATTTTGTCATAGGGTGCTGGCAGATTACGGGCCTCCCATTGCTGCTGCCAAGGCCCGTAATCTGCCATGGCCCCCGTACCGACTCCTCATGCTGCCACTGGCTGCTGCCAGGCCCGTAATCTGTCATGGGCCCCTGTACCGCCTCCTCATGCTGCTGCCAGGTCCAGAGTGTGTCATGGTCCCTGTACGGCCTCCCATTGCTGCTGTCTCCATCGCCACACTCTGCCATGTGCCACTTTCAGGTCTCCTCACACTGCTGGTGGGTTCCATTTTGTCATAGGGTGCTGTATGGCCTCCCATTGCTGCTGCCTCCACCGCCACACTGTGGCTCCACACTCTGGTTTTGGCCCCGTTCGGACTGCCCAAATGATGAGTGAAGTGTGCGGTGATTCTAAGATCGACGGCACTCATCTGCATGTCATACTGACTGAGGACAGTATTATTTCTCTTCCCCAGCAGACTCCAAGGGCATTTAAATTAAAGGTACAGTGTTCTGCACTAATATAAAGGCTCTCTGAAGCCTAGAAAAGGAAAACACCCTTTTTATAAGTTAAATTCGCAGCGAAGATATTCGACTCGAATCGAATTTATTCGCGAATTCGCCGAATCAGCCGAATCGAATTTTTGAAATAATTCGCTCATCTCTACTGATAACATAGATAGTTTTTATCTCTTTCAGATAAAGGCCAACTTTATTCTGCCTTAATTGAATCTCCTCAGAACTTTGGATAATCTTTACTTTATAAAGGTGTTGATAATTCCTGAAAAGTTTTTATAACATCACTTGTGGAATATTTTAACTCTCTTATCCTTAATTTTAGCTAGAAAATTTCCTTGACTAATGCTCCTGCCAGCAATTTCGCTGGCTTATTTCCCATCTCATAATAATGTTTTTTTGCTACTGCATTAAACGCACATTTAGTTTCTTGTTCCATCAAATTCTTTAGGGCCTCTCTTTTTTCTGCTACTCTCACCAGAGCTTGATTTTTATTTGTTGCTTTATGTAATTGCTCCAGTCCTTGAATATCCTGAAGAAGGCATTACAACTAGGCTCAACATAATTTCTTCCTTTTAGCCCCCTTTGCTACTAATTTTCTTCTCATATAGATTTTGTGGGCTTCCCAAAGCAAAGGCAGGGATATATTTTCTACATCATTCTACTTAAAAAAAAAAGTGGAAAAAAACCCTCACAGGTCTAGCTCTAGGTCTTTGGCAACACTAGGATCATGTAAAAGAGACTCATATAGCCTCCATATTGTCTGTCTTGCTAGGAGATCCTAAGGTTGCCAATACCGGAGCACGGTCTGACGGTTTATTGATTTATTTCTACTTCTATCAAGGCCTCTAATAACTAATGATCCAGGAGAATGTAACTCATTCTTGAATATGAGGAGTGTACTTGTGCATAGTATGTAAAATCTTTTCCTTTTGAAAGTAAGATTCTCCATACGTCTACTAATTATTGTTGATGCAAGCTCCTTTTAATCTTCCTAAGTTGCCCTCCTTCAGACTGTAAAGGTATAGGTTGGGTATCCAAGGCTGGGTCAAAAACAAAATTAAAATCTCCTGGTAATATTTTTTTCCCTACTCCAGCTCTGTAGTTTTACTAAGAACCCCAAAAGGGAAGACCAATTATTAAGGTAATATATAGAGATGAGCAAATCGAAGTAGGCGAAGTGGAATTCGTTTCGAATATTGGAAAAATCCGAAAAATAGCCTACTTCGGACGCGCGAATCGAAATTTTTTTGCTAAAATGGCGGCGGACATGTGCGGCGACGGAGCGGGGATGTCTGGGAAGGCGCGCAGACAAGGCGCGCTGACCCATAATGCATTCCTTAATGACATGTGATCGCATTAGCCAATCAGCAGCCAGCCAGCCAGCACTGTGTAATGGTCGAGCTATAAATGGCGGCCATTTTAGAATTCTTCATTTGCCTCCAGTCATTCAAGAGAGGCACACCGCTCTGTATTAGGGACAGAGTTAGGGCCACAGAAACGTTACTTGGGGACAGAGAAACGTTACTTAGGGACAGAGAACGTTACTTAGGGACAGAGAAACATTACTCAGGGACACAGAATTGTTAGTGAGGGCCACAGAATCGTTACTTAGGGCCACAGAAACGCTAGTTAGGGCCACAGAATTGTTACTCAGGGACAGACAGAATTGTTACTGAGGGCCACAGAATTGTTACTTAGGGCCACAGAAACGTTACTCAGGGCCACAGAATTGTTACTGAGGGCCACAGAACTGTTATACTTAGGGCCACAGAAACGTTAGTTAGGGCCACAGAATTGTTACTCAGGGACAGACACAGAATTGTTACTGAGGGCCACAGAATTGTTACTTAGGGCCACAGAAACGTTACTCAGGGCACAGAAATTGTTACTGAGGGCCACAGAAGTGTTACTTAGGGCCACAGAAACGTTAGTTAGGGCCACAGAAAAATTGTTACTCAGGGACAGACACAGAATTGTTACTGAGGGACACAGAATTGTTACTGAGGGCAACAGAACTGTTACTTAGGGCCACAGAATTGTTACTCAGGGACACAGAATTGTTACTGAGGGACACAGAACCGTTACTTAGGGCCACAGAATTGTTACTCAGGGACAGACACAGAATTGTTACTCAGGGACACAGAATTGTTACTGAGCGCCACAGAACCGTTACTTAGGGCCACACAGAATTGTTACTCAGGGACACAGACTTGTTACTCAGGGACACAGAATTGTTACTGAATTGTTACTTAGGCCACAGAACCGTTACTTAGGGCCACAGAAACGTTACTCAGGGACACAGAATTGTTACTGAGGGCCACAGAACCGTTACTTAGGGCCACAGAATTGTTACTCAGGGACACAGAATTGTTACTGAGGGCCACAGAACCGTTACTTAGGGCCACAGAATTGTTACTCAGGGACAGACACAGAATTGTTACTCAGGGACACACAGAATTTTTACTGAGGGCCACAGAACCGTTACTGAGGGCCACAGAACCGTTACTTAGGGACACAGAATTGTTACTGAGGGACACAGAATTGTTACTGAGGGCCACAGAATTGTTACTTAGGGCCACACAGAATTGTTACTCAGGGAGGGACACAGAATTGTTACTGAGGGCCACAGAACCGTTACTTAGGGCCACAGAATTGTTACTCAGGGACAGACACAGAATTGTTACTCAGGGACACAGAATTGTTACTGAGGGCCACAGAACCGTTACTTAGGGCCACAGAAACATTACTCAGGGACACAGAATTGTTACTGAGGGCCACAGAACCGTTACTTAGGGCCACAGAATTGTTACTCAGGGACAGACACAGAATTGTTACTCAGGGACACAGAATTGTTACTCAGGGACACAGAATCGTTGAATTAAAGAGTATGTCAGACAACATGCAGAGGAGTGGCAGAGGAGGCAATGTTTTAGGAGCGAGCAGACGTGGCAGCAGAGGAAGGGGTCGAGGCAGCACTATTCGCAGCCAGAGGCCAGTGCTCCCGTGTCATCCAGCGGTCGTGTCTCCACCGACAACCCTGCCGTCATCGATTGGTTGGCTCGGTCGTCTTCCTCTTCCCAGGTCACCTCTGACACCTACAGCCAACGGTCGGTGGGTACGTCAGACACAACCGTTAGTTGGCATGGCCCGGGACCAAGCCCACTGAAATCACGTGTCCTCTACCTGCCCCTGTCCTTTGGTGTTCCCTCACCAAGCGAAGTATCGCATGCTGTGGGCTCAGCCCCACTGTACAGTGAGGAAGAGCTAACAGAGGGCGGTCAGGAACGGGGGGAGACATCCGCCTTTTCAGCAGCCAGGCGAAGAAGTACTGGCGAGGAGAGTGGCTCGGTAGCCGGTCTAGAGACAGGTCTGTCTCCTGACCCACACGCAGCCGAGGGGGCTAGTAGTGAGGCGGAGACCCTACTTGATGATGAGGAGGTTGATCGCACTTGGCAGCCTCGTCGTCATCAGGCAATTTCTTCCGCATCATCAGGAGAAGAGGGTGGCAGCTTGGCAGCGAGCAAAACAGTCGGTGGGTTGCCCAGGAGGCAGCAGGGGTCGCAGCAGTGTCAGTGGAGCCAAACGGCCACGGAGTAGAGCACCAGCTCCACTGCAGCCTACCACCACGGCCAGTAGTGGTGCCGGTGTGCACGGAGGAAGCAGCAGTCAGCCAGTGAGGAGTATCGGGGCAAAGTTTCCTACTCGTGCGGTGTGGCAATTTTTCGTCAAGCCGCCCGAGGAAGTAAACGTAGCCGTATGTCGACTATGTGGCCAGAAAGTCAAGCGTGGCCAGGGGGCCCCATGTTGGGACTACAGCGTTGCGGCAGCATATGCAGCGTCGCCATTTGGTGGCCTGGGAAAACCGTGATAAAGATACGGTTTCTGCCCGCCCCAGCCCCCGCTCCATCACCCGCTCCGTTACTTGCTCCGTCACCCGACGTCAATCGCCCTCCATCAGCCAGTCAAGGCTCCAACACCTCTGCTGAGGGGAGTTGTCGCTCGTTGGCATCTTCCGCTCGTTCAGATGCTCCTTCTCCTGCTACTCCTCTTCACGGATTCCGTCAGCAGTCTTTCTTGGAATCCGTTTCCAAGAGACAACAGTTTGCGAGCACGCACCCGACGGTGCAAAAGCTGAACGTCCTCCTGTCCAAGTTGCTGGTGCTGCAGTCCCTCCCTTTCCAAGTGGGTGGACTCAGCACCTTTCCGAGAAATGATGGCTTGTGCCGCGCCGCGGTGGAGAGTGCCAAGCCGTCATTTCTTCGCCAAAAAGGCAGTGCCAGCCCTGCATTCACATGTAGAAGAGATGGTGGGCCAGTCTTTGAGCATGTCGGTCTCTGCCAAAGTGCACGGCAGCGCCGACGTGTGGAGCTGTAACTACGGTCAGGGACAGTACATGTCATTTACGGCCCACTGGGTGAACGTGGTGCCGTCACAGCCGCACCAGCAACTTGGACAGGTCACGCCGCTTTTGCCTCCACGTTTGCACGTCCTTGGT